CCAAATAAGGGGGCCTAAGAAAAAGCCCATTTAAATTATATGATTGTGAAATTTCAGAAGTGAAAATAGCATGAACACTTGAAGACATGAAGAGCTCAGTTTCCTTCCCATGCCCCCTTTCTTACAAAGCTCCAAGAAAATTATTCTCAGAACTGAGAAGAGTGGAGAAGAGGAATTGCCATCCAGCACTGCACGCTGGGATGCCCTCAGAGGCGGGTAAAGGGAGAGCAGATGACAGGCTAACAGAGGAAGTAACTGGAGAGGACAGCACTTCATTCCAGCAGGTTCCCACATTCTGCGGATGCCTGAGAGATACCAGAAATCTGCTAGGAGGTACATACAACCCTTTCTGTGTAAAGCAGAAGGGATTCTACACAGACAGAGTGCAAGATTGCCACTGTTCTGCTTCTCTCCATAGACCTGTGGTGTATTTGACCATTCTGTCCTAGAAACAAGCTTGCAGAAGAATGATAATGTTCACTCTCTAGGTCTACAATGTGCACTGCTGCGAAAACTGGCTGCCTGGATACGAGAATGAACCCTACAAGAATGGATACCGAGATTCTCTAACAATACTCCTAAGATCGATGTGGCTACCACAGATGGAACACATACCCTGTGCCAGGCAACATACCCTTAGTACTTACAAGAACCTTTACACGTCAGGTAAAAATTTCCTTAGCAAATCTGACTTTGATTGCTTTTGCATTCATAGCCTCAGGAATTTATAGCAGTAGGGAATTAAATCTCTAATTGATTTTTTCCCCTTTAGAAAGATTACCATTTCTGTGCTACTAAAAGGTAAGGGTGTTTGACTTTGTTTAGAACAAGAGTCTGCAAACTATGGACAAAATCTGGCAGCTGCCTTTTTAGTGAACACAGCACACCCACTTTCTTACATGTTAGCTATGGCTGCTTTATTCAACACAAGCAGAGTTGAGTAGTTGTGATAGAGACCAGATGACCTGGAAAAGATTTACTACCTAACCCTATAAAAATGTTTGCCAACCTCTGGCTTCAAAGTATTTATGAGCCTTTCGATGTGCAAAGAAAGGCCTGTATCAAGGTAGAGGGATAAAGATATAAACTTCAAGAATGTAGATACAGAAGTTGCAGAGACTAGGAGGGCCAAGAGAAAGAGTGGCTTCAGCCCCACGGCAGTCATGAGTACTTAAGTTTTCCAGGTGAGGGTTCAAGCGATTAGGTTTGGACAAAGTTAACCAGTTAACTTTGGAGAAAGAGAAAGGACTGACCTTGGCTAGAAACCTTGGCTCTACCACGTAAGGGCAATGATGAGAAGGGATCCCTAGGGTGAAAACTGTAGGAGCTTAGAAAGGTGAGGACGGAGGGCCTTTGGGAATGGGTGAGGCAGGGCAGGAGTACAAATCTCTAGATCACGTGCCCATGTGACATTCTGGTGGAAGGGGAAATCAGTGTAGATACGTGGGGGAAGTCAATAGAGTCATCTATGAAATTCAAGGAGAAAACAGCCGATTTAGCAGGGATTATGTGATTAAAACTGTTCTCTTGCAGAATCCCTTCATTCTCTCCCGTCTAATCGAATCCTCTTTCCATTGACTTTTTTTTTTTTTTTGAGACAGAGTCTCACTCTTTTGCCCAGGCTAGAGTGAGTGCCGTGGCATCAGCCTAGCTCACAGCAACCTCAAACTCCTGGGCTCAAGCGATCCTCCTCCCTCGGCCTCCCGAGTAGCTGGGACTACAGGCATGCGCCACCATGCCCGGCTAATTTTTTCTATATATTTTTAGTTGTCCAGTTAATTTCTTTCTAATTTTAGTAGAGACGGGGTCTCACTCTTGCTCAGGCTGGTTTCGAACTCCTGAGCTCAAACAATCCGCCCTCCTCGGCCTCCTAGAGAGCTAGGATTACAGGCGTGAGCCACGGCGCCCGGCCTCCATTGACTTTTTTCAGACAGGCTGGAATGTGGTGGCAAGATCATAGCTCACTGTAACCTCAAACTCCTTGGCTAAAGGATCCTCCCACCTCAGCTGCCTGAGGCACCCAGCCCCATCTACTTCATCATTAATAATCAAAGCTCAGCTTGGGAATAACTGTCCCCAGGCAGCTTTTCCCAGGAACTGACTCTGCACTGGGACAGCCCCCATTTCAGGGTAGGATGCTCAGTTGTGGCACAAACGGGTTATTTGCCACAATGTCCCTTCTCCTCTTGTTCTTTGGCAGACCATCAAGTAGGCGCATGGCCTACCTGGGTAAGATTACACTTTCCAGCTTCCCTTGCTGCCATGTGTGCCCACAAGACTTCATTCTGGTCAACGGGAAGTTAACAACCTGCAGCGAACATTACCAGACAGCTGGCACGTGCCCTTTGTCCCCCTTTTCCTTTCTATTTTAGAATATGCAAGTGGTAGCTAAAGCTCAAACCTCTTTGTCCCAGGGATGCATGCTAAGTATGCCACAATAAGTGAGACCAGACGTCTAGGTCCCTAAGATGGCCGAGCCAATGTGCCTGTCAGTTTACCTCCGGACTTCTCTCCCATCTGTACCACCACCCCAAGTGCAACCAGAAAGCTCCTGGAGAAGAAGGTACTCAAAAAACGTGGACAGTAGTTACATCATGAAGAGGTTTCTATGCCCTGCGAACACCTGCATTCCTGTTTTGTGTGATGTTTTAGGTTAAGTATTACGGAGGTTAGAATTTGGCCCAAAGGAGGTAGAGAATCCTACAAAGATTTTAAAGCTACTGTTACCCGCCGGGAAAAGGCTTTAAGCAGCATATTTAATAACTTTCTCTTAATAATGTCACATCCAAGTTATGGCTCTAATAAAAAATAAGTTCAAAATTAACACATTACCATATCCGATTACTTTATTCTTAAAAAAATCAAAGAAAATGTCCAGTTTCAAAAGAAAGCACACCACTATTAAACCCTCATATCCGTCTCAGGGCTTACAGCAGTCTGGCTTTATGCCAAGATTTGTCCAGCAGCTTGAAACTTGGACATCCATGTTAAAACTGTAAAAACATGACTGGAATTACAACTACATAAGAAGTTTAAACGAAATTCTAAGTGAGCCCAACTATCACAGGTCCTGAATATCAGGAAATAAGGAAAACTTATGGATCCCAAGGATCAGGAGGGTCTTCAGGGTCATCATCAGGAGGATCGTGCAGGTCAGTCACCACAGCAGAGCCATCGCTGCTCAAAGTTACCGAGTCAGCAATGAGTGACCTCATCCTTTCTTCACTAGCACCTAAGTGGTTCAGCCTGGGATGAGCAAGGAGCCTTTGCAGGGGCACAAAGAACTTATCTTTAACACTGAAGGGTTCAGAAGATGCCTCTATCCTAGCTTTTCCAGCTTCTGTGAAGACTGGTCCAAACCACAGGATGGGGGCCTCTGAGCAAGCATCTGGCTGGTTACCCAGTTCCCTGCCCTCCTCCTGTTCCTTCAGCCCTCGCAGATATTCCACTCTCAAACTTGCCACTTCTTGCCACACTTCGCTCACCAGCGCGGTTTTGAGGTACTTTTCCTGCTGCAAACTCGGGTATGAGATTGTAACCACCTGAGGGGGAAAAACAAAACACTTAGAACAGGAGAGTTTTCAAAGCCATCAGTAACTCTTTGCAACATAAGAATTAACTAAATATACATATCGAATACATGTCAGATTCCTTCCATTTACTATCGCAAATTCCTCAGTTGTAATGGGAATCCAACAACTGATGTGTAGACATTAACTATCTGATTTGCTTTCTAATTCTAATAATGTCCACCATCTCCCAGCCAGGTTTCTACTAATTCACAGTAACCCAACATTCCTACTTATTACAGGGGAAAGGGTGAAAAAAAAGAAAAATGGTTCAGTTAAAAAGGAAAAAATTTCTTTTTCATGCCACTTCTTGAAACCAAAAGGGTCTGAAAAGCTTGAAGGCTCAGTTCTAAGAGTCATCCCCCGAGACTCTGCTGGGGAGGAAGTGCTGCTGGCTTTGCCCCTTAGTGCTGCTAATCCTAACAGACTACAAAAGGAGGTTGCTCAAGTATTGCTTTGGAGTCTTCTGAGACAGCTCCAGCAGATCATTCCTGAAACTTTTTTGAGACAGGGCAAAAGGCTAGGTGGTCTCAAAAGGATGCTGTACACCGACCCTGCCAACTGTCACGGGGCCTGAAGGATTCTCCTTGGTGGAACCACAAAAATAAGGTCATTTGTACTCATCTCTGTTTTGGGGACTTTTACCCACAGAGTTCACCATCCTAATAAATGTACTTCTTGCCCTGATAGCCTCACAAAGAACACTCACAGGTTTATAAACATGCTGATCACGCTGCTCCGAAACACACAACTCAGCTGCCTTGCCCCCATTTTTCCGGAAGATGCCAATCTGGGTACAGAATCCAACACTCTCAGCTCCAGCTGGCGGTTTTCCCACACCAGTAAACTCCACAGAGTAATTATAGGTCTTTGCCACATGTAAAGCCCTGAAATCAAAACAAGGAGAGAAACCAATGACTTCTGTACTACTGGTCAGTAGTACAGTAGAAGATGAAAAACACAATAAACCAAAATACTCGTAAAGTTACAAATTCCTACACCACCGTATCATGGTGTTTGCTGTATTTATTTCCTGTGCAGAGTTCAAGCAATGATGTAGTGTCAGTTTCCAAGTTACCACAAGAATATGGAAGCGAAAAGGAAAGTTATAGGGAAGGGTGTAGTTAGGGGTTGACAAGGAGACTACAAAGGCTACAACCCAACTGCCTATTTGAGTTTGCAATTAATTACACCAGACAGAAAAAAACGACCAACCCTCAGGAGATATCCCTGGGCAGGGGCATGAGGCTCACTTTCACAGCCCCAAACTTCCTCCTTGTCCATCTCCGTGCCAACACTGCAGTACCTTCACATGAAAGGTACCTGGTGCCCACACCCCCTTTTCCATACCTGTCTCAAATGTGATGGCTCCTTTATGACCTCACTACATGCTAAGTCCCGCGCTGGATATCAATTTTATTGGAACAATTGTATACATTATATATATATATATACATATCAAGATTGGCTTCCTAGGCTTTTAAACTCCAGTAAGATCCCCCCAAAACATAAAAACCCTAATGGACTTACCAGCTCTGGAATTCCTTCCTACTCCACTCAAATTTATGATCTAAATCTCTTACGGTCACTACTTCAAATAGGGGATTGAATTCAGAGTTTGGTGTGCTGATGACGACCATAGATGGAGACAGGTACCCAAATACCACTTCAGGAAATCTGGCCAGATCGTCTGGATCCAAATGTTCTATTCTAAAATAGTCAATAGGAAAAATACAATAAAATCGAGTTTCACTTGCACCATTTTTCTAATTGATTTGAAACAATTTCCATCTGTACATTGATTTCTCCCTTCTTTGAGTATGTAATAGAGCTTCAATGACCTAAGAACAATTATTCATACATTCTCATCCTTTCCCACCCATCCCTTGTCCAACTAAGGTCCTTTTCTGTACTCTATGGCTTTATTATCAATACTGCTAAAAAAGGTACCTGAGCTTGTACCTCCCTGATATATAACACACAAGGAAGGACACAACATCACTTTTATGGTATTCTCGTCAAAAATGCATACCCTGAGTCTAATAATGAGTAAACAAACTCAGATCGGGGGATACTCTACAAGAATAATTAGCATGTATTCTTCAGAAATAAAGGGCAAAGAAGAGAAAGCAGAAAGACTGAGCAGACCTGCTTCAGATTAAAGGAGCCCAAACCACCATGACAACTAATTGCATTGTTATCTTGAAGCATTTTAAACTATAGCTAAAATTAAATAGCTATAGAAAGACATTACCGGAATAAATGAATTTTGAGTATGGACTGTAGATTAGGTAATAGTGCTGTATCAAAGTTAAATTTCCTACTGTACTGAGGTTATGGTAAGAAGTCTTTGTTCTTAGAAAATATATACTGAGGTATTTAGGGATACAGGGACACAATGTCTTCAACCTGCTCTCAGATGGTTCAGATGAAAAATATACGTAGAAAATTGTATTTAAAGAAAATAAATGGGGTCAAATAAATGGTGAATCTGAGTAAAGAACATGTGAGAATTCCTTGTACCATTACTCCAACTTCCATAAATTTACAATTATATAAAAATTAAATGTTACCAAAAAGAGTGTGACAAAGCCATTTAAGACAGCGTTCCCTAAAGAAATCAGACATTGGCAAGTGCTTCACAGGTGCCTAAGCTTCAGTCCAATTTGCAAGCAAACCAGGAGGCACACTGAGTAAGGTGCAGAGAGACATCTCCTTCCCCGGGCTGCAAGGACAGCCCCTATCGCCACCCTGGTGGGCCTCCCTTTCTCAGCAGGAGGCTGATGGGCAGAAGCACCATGCCCTTTCAGCTTGTTATAGGAAGAAGCTCTGAAGGTGAATTGAGGACCTGTTACACTAGTCAGCAATGGTCTCCAAGCTGCCAAACCTAGCAATTTCTTGAGTCCTCTTATTGGTCTTCTTTGCATCATCAATGCAAATACTACATATCAAAATTTGTGGTTACAGCGTAATGTAACAAAAGGGAAAGTCATTGCTTTACCATACACTAGAACATAAGCTGAAACCCAATGAGCTAAGTATTTATTTCAATAAGTTAGAAAAATACAGCAAATGAAATGCTAATAAGCAGACAGGAAGAGATACAGAGAAAAAAAATTAAGAAGCAAAACACACACACACACTTAAACCTATGACCCACCTAGTAATCCTACTCCCAAGTGAAATGAAACCTGCCTTCATGCAAAACCTGTATGTGAATGTTTCTTACAGTTCTATTCACAATCACCCCAAACTGAAAAACCCAAACATCTTTTAAGTGGGTAAAAGGATAAAAGGCAGTACACCCATGCAATGCACTACTAATCAGGAATTTAAAGGAACCAATTATTAACACACGGAACTTGGATAAATCTCAAAGGTATCAGCTGAGTGAATGAAGACTGTACGATTCTATTATTAATACTGTACTCTTCTATTGTTATATGTTCTCAAAAGGACAAACCTACAATGATGGAGAATAAATCAGTGATTGCCAAAAGCAGCGGGGAGGGTGTGACCACAAAGGGGTAGCATAAAATAGCTATTCGGGATGGTGGAAATGTTCTGTTCCCTGACTGAGGCAAAGGTTATATTAAACTATGTTAAAATTCATAGAACTATACCCTCCAAATAATATTAATTTCACTGTACTTTTAATAGTTCTCAAAAATAAAGTCAAAAAACAAAGTTGGGGGGAAATGACTAATTCTAACATAAAAAGAAAACATATGGGCCGGGGGCAGCGGCTCACGCCGGTAATCCTAGCACTCTGGGAGTGCCAGCGAATCACTTGACCTCAGGAGTTCGAGACCAGCCTTAGTAAGAGCGAGACCCATCTCTACTAAAAATAGAAAGAAATTAGCTGGACAACTAAAAATATATAGAAAAAATTAGCCAGGCATGGTGGCTCATGCCTGTACTTTTAATAGTTTTCAAAAATAAAGTCAAAAAACAAAGTTGGGGGGAAATGACTAATTCTAACATAAAAAGAAAGCATATGGGCCGGGGGCAGCGGCTCACGCCGGTAATCCTAGCACTCTGGGAGTGCCAGCGAATCACTTGACCTCAGGAGTTCGAGACCAGCGTTAGTAAGAGCGAGACCCATCCCTACTAAAAATAGAAAGAAATTAGCTGGACAACTAAAAATATATAGAAAAAATTAGCCAGGCATGGTGGCTCATGCCTGTAGTCCCAGCTACTTGGGAGGCTGAGGCAGGAGGATTGCTTGAGCCAAAGAGCTGGAGGTTGTTGCGAGCTGGGCTAACGCCAAGCCCTCTAGCCCAGGAAACAGAGTGAGACTGTCTCAAAAAAAAAAAAAAAAAAAAGCATATGAATCAGTAAGAAAAATACCAACAATTCAATAGAAAAATTCATAAAGGATATATACACAGTTCAGATAAATGTATCAAATGGCTCTGGAGCAGGTGAAATTATAATACAGGAGAAATAAATTGAAACTAAGATTATACTTTCCTCCTATCAGACTATCAAAGATAAAGTTGGATAAGACAACGCCAGAAAAGACACATGGTGAAAGGGTAGGAAAACAAACCTTCCTACACGGCCAACGGGCATGTGAATCAGTGTGACTACTAGCGAAGGCAATTTGGCAAGAACGTTTGTGGTAGACACTGCTAGCTGTCCACCAAAATCTATTCTGTTCTTCCACGGTAAGAGTTGTCACAGGTATATGGCTACCATTAGAAGATTCATTTCCAGCCTCCTTTTCAGCCAGGTGTGACCACATACGTTAAGTTCTCACAAATGGAAGATGAGTGAAGACATGTGTGCCCCTTCTGGGTTTGGGTCTTAAAACATTTAAGATACGTTCCTCTGGGATTTTCCCCTCTCCCATGAACTGGAAGAATATGTCTGTGGCCCAGCTATGACTACACAGATGAGTCTAACATCCCAGGGGACTGTAGAATATGGCACAGGAATTTACTTCCTAAGTGACTTCCAGGAGCTAAGCCACCGCCAATCATGGACCACTCAGTTTAGGACTGTTAGATTAAGAGAAATAAGGTTCTACTTTCTCTAAGCCACCATTTTGGAGCTTCTGTTCTACCAACTCAACCTTCACCGTAACTGAAACAGCTATCAAAATTATAAATATATGCACCCTTTGACCTAGAAATTTTATGTGTAGGAATTTATATTACAGATAGACTCTCACATAAAAAATGCCATAAGCAAAGCCATGCATTGCAATAGCTAAAGATGAGGCCATCCTAAGTGGTCCTTAATACAACACTGGTTAAACACAGTATGCTACCTGCTTACAGTGGGCAAATGTACAGCAATAAGAATGCAGAAGCACCTTAGATCTGATTCCATGGTACGCTGCTAAGTGAAAAAGGTACAGAGCAGTGTGTATAGTACATCATCATTTGTACAATGAAAACTGGAATAGACACATGTATCTGTAAATGATGGGATATTTCTCAACGTCTACACAAGAGTTAGTAATGGCGGCCTTGGGGAGGGCAACTGGGTAACTGGAAGAGAGAAGTGAGGGTGGGTTTCACTATTATTAGTACACATTGAATTTTATACCTCATGCATATGTACAAACTATTCAAGACTTTAATGGGTAAATTGCCTTCTGCTGAAGGACAAGCATGGTAAAGAAGTTGAAAACATAGGTAAGAAGTTATAGGACACGCACTACTTAAACACAACTGATGAGAAAAGGGTATCATATATGTTACAAAAAACACAATTTGGAAAAAATTTTATCAGACTCTTTCTCATTTAATGAGACTATAGAGGAATGGGAGAAAATATTTGCAAATCATAAATCTTATAAGGGATGAATATCTGGAAAATATCAAGAACTCCTATAATTCAACAACAAAAAACCTGATTAAAAAAGGGCGGAAGGATTTTGATAGACATTACTTCAAGGAAGATATACAAATTGCCATTGGGCATATGAAAAGATGCTCATTATCATGATCATTAAGGAAATGCAAATCAAAATCACAATAACATACCACAGCTCACACCCATCAGGTAGGCTACTATGAAAACAACAGAAAATAGTAAGCGCTGGTGAGACTCGAATGTACATGTTTTCCCATAATGGCTAATTTACATTCCCAACAGTGTATAAAAGTTTTTCTCCCCATCCTTGCCAGAATGTTATTTGTCTTTTTGACAACTGCCATCCTGATTGGGCTGAGATGACATCTCACTGTGGTTTTGATTTGCATTTCCCTTATAATTAGTGATTCTGATCATTTTTTCATAACCTTGTTGGCCATTTGTATATCTTCTTTTGAAAAGTATCTATTCAGATCCTTTGCCCATTTTTTTAAATTAGTTTTACTATTGAGTTCTTTGTATATTCTGGATATTAGTTTCTTGACGATGAATACTTTGCAAATACTTTCTCCCATTCTATATCTTGCTTTTTCACGCTGTTGGTTTCCTTTGCTATGCAAAAGCTTTTCAGTTTTACATAGTCCCATTTGAAGTCAGGAAGTGTGATGCCTCCAGGTTCTAAACTGAATTTTTTTAATGGGCGCAAAGGGCCATATGTATAAACTACCCTTAATTGGCTCAGGAAAAAAAACTGAGAGGAGAGGGAAAAGGGGAGAAGAGAAGGGAAAATGGGGGAGAAGGGTGCACATGTACAAATGATAAAGGAAATGGGGAAATGTTAACAAGAGGTGAATCTGGCTAAAGGATATATGGGTGTTCTTGGTACTATATATTTTTTTGCAATTCATCTGTATATTTGAAATTGCCAAGTAAAATGTTGAAAAGGTAAAGTAAAATAATATTCCCAACTGATGAGCAATTTTCTTTACAAATATTATGACAAACACCTAAATATGTAATGCTAAGATTATTCAGTCTAATTCTTTCAGATTTTCCAAATTATATAGTATCAATCACTTTAAACTTACAATTCAATACACGTTATCAAGTCGAATCCAAGCAAACGAGAGTCTCTCTCCACAACAGAGCCGTGATACAATATAACAGTCAAATCCAGCTCCCGGGGCATCAGAAATTGCCCCAAGAAGGGTTGCAGCTTAACCCTGCAAAAGAATTTTTACAAAAGAACCATTTTGAACACAGTCTAGTTAGAAATTCTCACTAGTTACAGAAATCAGATTCCCCATACAATTATACTCTACCTACGCTGATTTAAGTCTGACATTACTTGTTTTCCTTGTCTTGATGTATTAAGCATCAAGGATCAGTGATTTTCAGATTTGTGTTCTTTAAAAGAAAAAGATTCTTTTTTTTTTTTTTTTTTTTTGAGACAAAGTCTCACTATGTTGCCCGGGCTAGAATGAGTGCCATGGCGTCAGCCTAGCTCACAGCAACCTCAAACTCCTGGGCTCAAGCGATCCTCCTGCCTCAGCCTCCCGAGTAGCTGGGACTACAGGCATGCGCCACCATGCCCGGCTAATTTTTTCTATATATTTTTAGTTGGCCAATTAATTTCTTTCTAATTTTAGTAGAGACGGGGTCTCGCTCTTGCTCAGGCTGGTTTCGAACTCCTGAGCTCAAACAATCCGCCCGCCTCGGCCTCCCAGAGAGCTAGGATTACAGGCGTGAGCCACCGCACCCGGCCAGAAAAAGATTCTTGAAACTAGGCATTCCACAGCACTCTAGCCCAGGCAACAGAGCAAGATTGTCACACAAAAAAAAAAAAAACCCAAAAGTTGTGTCTGGCATTAAAGTGACAAGATTTTGCCATCTGAAATTGACTTTGAATTGCTTTGACTATGATGACTTAATTAAGGCTTTAAATTGGTAGAAACAAAATACAGGCATTATACATGGAGTATACAACCAATTAGTGTTATGGCAAAGCCTGATTATTCAGTGAGCTGGAGACTCCAATAGCCCCAATCTTTTAAAACAAGTTATATAGAATCAACTTTCTCTAAGTGTAATTAATAATGCCACTAGTTTTAGATTAATGCATAATTCAGAAACTAGGTATTACCCGTTCCATCGTAAATCATGCTCATCCATGATATCTACTCCAACAAGCAGTTGAATGCATGGGTAGATTTTTAACTGCCTTAAGAGTGAAGCATCACCACATCCCAGGTCTGCAACCTGCATGACACAAAATGTTATTCCAAAGACATTTGTAGCCAGAGAAGTATAATCAAAAACGTTTGAGGGGGAGAGGAATGCATATTGGTAACAAAACCATAATAAACACTTATATGGAAGGACATTTTTGGTAGACTAGTGTTCATAAAAACAAATGAGATGCTGGGCCCAGTAGTTCATGCCTGTAAATTCTAGCACTCTGGGAGGCTGAGGCAGGAGGATCGCTTGAGCTCAGGAGTTAGAGACCAGCCTGAGCAAGGGCGAGACCCCATCTCTACTAAAAATAGAAAAAATTAGCCAGGCTTGGTGGCGCATGCCTGTAGTCCCAGCTACTTGGGAGGCTGAGGCAGTAGGATTGCTTGAGCCCAGGAGTTTGAGTTTGCTGTGAGCTAGGCTGATGCCATGGCACTCTAGCCCGGGCAACAGAGTGAGCCTCTGTCTCAAAAAAAAAAAAAAAAAAAAACCTGTGGGTACAATACCCAGTTTGCCTGATAATCTGACTAAACTCTCTAGGAATGTGGAACCTACAAGATCACATTCAACTGCAAAAAAAAAAAAAGTCAAGATTTTCTTCTTCACATTTGAACCTGACAACGATGAATTCTATCTGAGCTGGGCTAAAGAAGGAAAGGGCTCACTGCAAAGAACCACCCTGCGCCATAAGACTGCCTCAAATGAATAGCATAACTACTTGACCCCACTGGTTACTGGGAAGAATATTCCCTTTTAACCATACTTTAGGAAAACTTTCCTGTCTCCCCCAGGCCTTTGAACTTTGGCCTCAGGAAACAAACAGCACCTCTTTAAGGTCCCCCAGAACATTCTACCATCCTTCCATTCCACTCTTTCATCCCACTTCGCCACTACTTTCTAGCTTTGTTCAATTCTCTGGTAAAAGAAAAACCTTTTTTACGGCACTCTTGAGATACTTGTGATCTTATAGTCACAGCATTCTGCCTACTGCAAGAATCCCCTTGAAAAAGTCTCTACTGCTGCATTTGACAAAAAATACTTCATGAGACAGTCTCAGTAATTAAATGTTTGGAAAGATAAATTCCTACCTTCTTGGGTTCATGTAGATCCACTAAATCTTTAACAAACTGGTACCGCTGTCTGTATAATTGAGGGTTAAACTCAATTACTGGCACACTGGGAATTTCAGCTTCACTTTCACTTTTGCACTGGAAGATCAAACAAAAAAGAAGGGTTCTAAATCATGCCTGACTTAAGAAATTAAATAAGGGGGAAAAAAGTTTCACTCCCTCCGCTTTAACAGCATAAGATAAGGACAAAGAGAAAAAGAAAAAAATAAAAGGTTTTACTTCCCTGAATCACTTTGGAGAATTGTGAACTAAAATAAAATCTTAAGGCTCCCCCACACTACTGGCTGACTGAATGGACCCCCTCGTTGCCAAGGGGATATCCTAAAACTAAGTTGCTTGCCACGAGGAGGGAGGTCAGACATGCCTCATCATGCCCCCCTCCCTTCTTGGAGATACTCCTTTGTAACCCATTCACAGGCCTAAGGGTATGCAAGACAAACCTGCAGGTCCTCAATTTACACAACAAATATATGTCCTGTGGCTTATCTCTGATTAACAGACCTCCTTATTTTAAAACATCCAAGCCTATAGACAAAGCTTCAGGTCTTTAACCAATTACAAGTCAAAGAATCTTTAAACCCACCAATAACCTGTAAGCCCCACCCCTCTTCGAGATAGCCCACCTTTTTGGGCCAAAGCAATGTATGCCTTCCATGTATTGATTTTAGGACTTTACCTGTAATCCGTCTCCCTGAACCTATAAAATCAAACTGTAGGCCGGGCACAGTGGCTCATGCCTGTAATCCTAGCACTCTGGGAGGCCGAGGCAGGAGGATCGTTTCAACTCAGGAGTT